TTAAGAAAGCCCAATTCGGCAACGTATAACCGTGTTCGAAGTTTTTCAGTGATGGTCCACGACTCATGACCGTAGGTAAGTATGGGGATGAAGATCGATTTGAACACCGAGAGCTTAGTTTTCAGTGCGAGCTCTACTTTAGTCACAGTGGATCAAGCTAGTTCACGCAGAACGCCACTGGCAACTCCAATTCGCCGGTTGATTTCTTCCTCCAATTTTCCATTACTAGTAAATACAATTCCGAGGTACTTGAACTTCTCCACCTGCTCAACTTCCGTTAATCTGAAGAGAGCAACGGGCAGAAGAACGAGAACGCCCTCGACTTATCGTTTCAGATGCGTTCGCCGCATGCTGATCACGTCGCATTCAGCTGCAAACCTTTCTACAGAGCACTGTAGATCAGTTTCAGAAGATTTCAGTAACGCAACCTCGTCTGCAAACAGCAGCATTCTCGCATTCACATCTCCTACACCGATACACTTATCCCCTTGGCTGCTCCTGACTATTCTATCCATGTAAAACACAAACAGGAGAGGAGACAGCACGCAGCCTTGGCGGAGACCAGTGCCAACGTTGAAGGGATTCGACTCAACGCCATTTACTCTGAAACAGCACCTGTTATCAGAATACAGTGGTTGAATGGCCCTTAGTAGCTGACCATCTATCCCGCTCGAAGGCATGACCACAGACTGATGCGTGGGATCCGGTCATAGGCTTTTTCTAGGCCAACAAAGCACACGTACACCGGACTGGCGTACTCCTACGATTTCTCAACAATCTGGCGTAAGGCAAATATACGGAGAGAGGTGCTTCGACCAGGCCGGAAGCCATACTGCACATCTTGTATTTTGGAGTTAGTCACTCCATGGTACCTCCATCTTAGCGCATTTCCGTTGACCTTTTCCGGAGGTTCTATAAGGTAATGTCCGGATAATTGGAGCACTGAATCTGATTTCCATTCTAGAACAAGGGTTCAACAACGCCCATTCTCCAGTTCGCTGGTGTCTTCTTCATAGCCATTGCAGTTTACTTGACACTAAGCCAGCAGGTGCTCTGTTTGCCTAATTCGTTTACCATTTCAGAGGGATTTTACCGACTGCAGCAGCCTTGTCACTTTTCAAGTTTTTCACAGCTCGTGTGACTTCATTTAAAGGAAAAGTAATATCCGTTCCCTGTTTTTATATAGGCGAGTCTTCCTGCGGCAACGGGGTCAAACAGTTCTTCGAAGTACTCTCTCCAACGCCAAAGAATAGCCTCATCCTCTATAAGAAGGTTTCGAGACTTGTCCCTCAAGACCCTTAGACTGCACTTTTTCTTACCTCGGAGCCGGCGAATGGTCAGCCATAATACCGTTTTCGCCGTCTGAACATTTCACTCCAACACCTCACCCAACTACCTCCTGGAATCAGCTCTGTCTTTCGCCACTGCTTTCGGTGCCGTCCTGTGCGATTTTACATATCGCATGCGAGTTGAAGACTCTGTTTCAAGCCATTTTTTGAATGTAGCTTTGTTCTCTTTAACTGACATTTGTGCCTCCGTTGTTCTGCAGAAAGTTTTTCTGAACTCCAGGCGGCAGGCCAACACGTTTAAATCCGCAGCTTCTGCAGTGCTGAGTAACGCTGCGCTTTAAGAGTTCCCATTCAATGTCCTCATCAGTGGTCATCCCCTGGAAGGTCTATGGCGATTCGGCAGGAGACGTTCCAGCGCCTATCGATAGTCGTTATTAACGTGCAGTCCTCTGCAGTTCTATATGATTGGACAATGGTTGTCCCCATGGACTGTAGTATTTAACTCAGCAAATTATTTATGCATGAGAGGCTTTCCGTGAGCACAATGTGAAACTTCCGTCAAACTAATGAATTTTAAAGATTCTAAGATTTCGTTAATCATGCATCAAGATGTTCATTATTGATGTATTAATATCTGTCAGTGAGAACAATAACAAAATGTCTGTAAAAGTAGTTGTTAAATTGCCCAATTGCTTTGCAAAATTTAAATTCGTGAATATAATTTAGTTTAAGGTCAACTTTTCATGGAATTACAACGAGCTGTTGTGCAAGTAATATTTATAAAGCAAAATTTTATATGCAATATATGGCGTCATTGCGCCATTTCGCAGTAATGTGCTAAGCCATAAAGGTAAGTAGTAATGTCACTATTACGATAGTCATTCACACTGGGTATTATCGTTTCGTCTGCATCGCCATATTTTTCGAATTCGCTGGATACTGGATATTTACCAATTTTCACAAGTAGAACAATGAAGTCAAAATAAAATGCCAAATTTTTGAAATTCTTTAGTTAGATAGAGGTTTCACATTGTGCTTAGTTGGATATTACAGTTGATCGATATGACCACAGTCCGATCAAATAGAACGTAGCGAGTTGCAGGTTGATTGCGACTATCGTTGCCTTCAGGCGGCAATTTGTCTTGCTGACCTGGAGTAGGCTAGTGATTTTGTCCTGGTGAGTATTACGGAAAGCGGGTCCTCTTAATTGAGGCTTCTCTTTGCAACACAGCTGCGAATGCCTGCCTGTAGATTAACGCCACAGATCCAAGATTACGAAGAAGCCTTGACACACGTCCGATCTACTTTTAGAGTACACAAGGAAGACAACAGAAGGAGTGAAGTAGTTTAATTGCATCGGGTCAGTCAGCGCCAGCGGTGGCACAGTCCAATCAGGTTTAAACGTAGGATGGCCCTCTCATCCAGTGCTTTTGTAACCTCACAAATATGTAGGCTGTGAAATCAGTAGCCCTTTCCACAGGAATTCGTCTGTACCTTGCTTTCGTCAGGTCAATGTTATTGCCCGGCATTGAGGCAGTTATACGAAAGTGGGAGCAAGAAATAAAGTTAAAGCGCAAACAGCAGAGTTGGCTTCGACGCATAATGAGAGCTAAGGATTATTCCTGGTCTCTTTCGGAATCAGGTGACCTCGGAAGAGGTGGAAATTATGAAAAAGAGGTTGGCCATTTGACGAACACATACCATTTACTCCAGTCCATTAGCTTCTCATGTGAGAGCCAAATCGCGGCAGACGCCATCAAGGCGGCCAGCATACAACCTGGAGGAACAGGGTAGAAGCAAATCTGCTCTGCGTGATTGTGCGATGCAATAATAGATACTTTATATTCTAAGTGCTAAAAAACGATAGATGCAGTGAAAACTATTATTCTGTCTATGCAAATCTCAATAAACCCAACCTTCTCACCGATCTACTCAGACTTTTGTTCTCTGTCTGTAAAAGGTAATGTGCGTTACAGTGCAATAAAAATATATCCAAAACAGGAACTTCTACAACTTTATGTGAAGCATCGTTTCAGATGTTTCAGAAAGATTAAATGCACTGTTTCAAAATCAGAACAAATATTAGGATAACATTGCTGCACAAAAGATTCAGTAGAATCAGCTGCAACTTCAGATACTTTCTCTCAACATGTCGGTCTTAAATAATAGCAACCAGCGACTACAAAGAGTGGAACAGCAGATCTGCGACAAACCACGTAATTCAAAGAAACGTTTAGTAATCCTGCGCCTTCCTACCGTTGATCACTAACTTGCATCCAAAGCAGCAACTGATCTGATGGAACGAGTTTACATAGACTTGAATTAATGAATACATGAATAACGCATGTTATTAACCCCCACTGCAAACTCGATTTGAAGGAAGTCATACAAAATACTAGATCAACTGGTTTCCGCAGCGACAACATCCTACAGCAACTGACAGATAACATAAGCTTATATATGAACCATTAGTGGCATGATTCTTTCATGGATCAAGTATATAAATAGCAATTACGTGTATGTTTAGGAAAGCAAAGGCCCCAGGCTAATTGAAGTCTACTCATGTGTACCAGTGTGCTGCATGTAATATATGTATTACAAGCCGGAAAACGCTGCAATTCATCACTTTCCATTCTGTGAAACGATTTTGACAGATCGAGGACCGTGATTTTCTAACGGCTATGAGTAGAGCAATTTCAGAGCACTAATGAAGTGGCCACACCTGCTGTGAACTCTGCCTATTACTTCTTACGCAATTTTGGAAGCTGCTACTATGGGAAATTTCCAGAACTTGATTAAATAAGTGCGGAATGGATCTCTGCCTATCATCTAGATATAAGAGGTGAATCCGTCGTTTGTGATATGTGGTCATAAGATTTCTTTTTGCTCTCGCAGCTGTATTTGGTAAAAAGCGAGTTAGTGGTTTTCATTTGATGCATTGTCGTTTCCATCTGAGAATTAATCGTCGATGCAAAAAAAGATACCTTAACTTTGCAGTCCCTCTGACGAGTAATTGCACATTTATTTTATCGATCTAATTTTATAAAATTTTATCGATCTAATATCACATCTGTTCTATAGATTTAATCTGTTTTATCAAAATTTAAATAAACTCCGTCGCTCACCGAACTTTAACCGTGTCAGCCATTTGGATTCTTGATGTTCAGCATGCTTAGCCAATAGCGTTTTCGCTTTATAAGCTAATGAAGCAAAAATCATTATCAGTTTTTCTCATCGATAGGTCCTTCTAGTTTCCCCTTTCAGATAATGTTGCTCAAACGTCGGACGGCGATGAAAAAGGCTCGAGATATGAATCCAGGACGACTGTGTTTACTAAGCTGTACTGTTGGGTATATGTTTGCTTAATCTACGCATGGGATCAGAAGTCGCGATCACCAGATCAGATGCTGCAAGTCATCTGAAGTGTGCGCTACTTATGTTGGTTTTGGTCAGCGTCTTTATCTATATTCTTAGTTCCTTTTCAAATGCGAGTCTTCCGTTCTTTTTCCGTCCATTCACGTCCAGCGCCGAAAGCAAATTGCCGGCGCTTATTCTCGGTTGGACTCAGATTTTTGGCAAGTCATTGGTCAGTGAACTTGGCACCACCGTCTTACACTGCCCAACAGCGACATGCCTGTTTACCGGTAACAGAAGTCTGTTAAACAGCAGTCAGGTAGTATTCTTCCATGAGCGGGACTTCAGCTTGATGGACCTGCCGGAACGCCGTCATACGTCACAAATGTTCGTCATCGCCAACTGGGAAGCACCGGTGTACCTGGCAGGTAAGACGGCGTTCCTAAATGACAATTTCTTCAATCTGACAATGACCTATCGACGAGACTCCGATATTTTTGCCCCTTATGTGTCATTTGAGGAAATGAATGATACTCACGAACTGAGTGATATGGATTTGAGAGAATTAATCAACAACAAAACCAAGCACATCGCACGGTTCGTCAGCAACTGCTTCATTCTAAGTCATCGCGAAGCGTTACAGAAATACATTCCAGTGGACATATACGGAGCATGTGGACCTCTAACATGCCCCAGAGAGAACGATGGTTGCAAAGAACTGTTGAGGAAGGAGTACCGGTTTTACCTCGCTTTTGAAAATACCATTTGTTTAGACTATGTTACTGAGAAGTCCTTGACTGCTCTGAGTACCTACGTCGTTCCGATTGTACTCAGCCGTTCCGTCTCACAACCGCTACTTCCTAGCAACAGTTTTGCTGCCGTAGACGACTTTGACAGTCCGAAACGTCTTTCAGAGTTACTGTATCTACTGGGCAACGATACGTCGCGATACGTCACCTATTTCCAGTACAAAGGAAAATATATTGCACACAGGAAGTTGTGGACCAGAAGTTTCTGTCGTTTGTGCGATCATATATCGACAGATCGAAAGCCATCTGTTCGAAAGACTAAAAATTTCAATTTCTGGTTTCGGAATGGCAGTAATTGTGCTGCGGTTTTTGTGGTTGATGATCCAGAAACATCTTTTAACTCCACATAGGCTTTCGCTATGTTCCTTGCTTATAACGCATTGGGAAAAGCAATGATCGATTCCGTATTCTGTACTCGTTGACTAAATATTTATTACAGGGCGTATATCCCACCCCCCCTCAATTTTGCCGTGCTATTATCGTCTGCAAAAAGACTAGGAGATACAATTTGCCTTTCTTCAAAATATTCATTTGTAACTTTTACCCCAATGCTGCGCCAGATTATTAAATCTGAAAAAATTACGTCGCTGGTGAAATGAGCAATGATTGAAATTTACTTGATATATGAACATACGGCAAACCCACACATGTACGGGGCTAAATTTCAGTTGGAGTGGTAAAACTCACTAGAGCTTTTAATGCTCGAAAAGATGCAAGACACACTGAGAAGTACTGACGCGATGGATACTCAAAGAAATTTAGCAGTAATCAGCAAACGTAAAACTGGACACGAAATTCTATCATATCAAGAATCCGCATTTTTCGCCTGTTAATCGTTTCATTTCAGGCCTGTCTAAATCGAAAAAAATGGATTATGAACTCTGTGAATATCAAAACAACGTTCAGTGCTAAAGAAACGCATAGAGCACCACCAAGAAAAGTAAAATATCATATTCCTCGTGAAGCGACTGTCTGAATTATATTTTGTAACTGATTGATCAGACACAACGGTTACCAAAGTCACAGTCGATAAGCGCAAACGAGCCCAGCCCACAAATCAGTGTGACTGGTTCGAATTATCGATGCAGTTGAAATTAGTTTCTATGGGTTTAATCTTTTGGTAAGTCACAAACAGGAGACAACGCATAAAATGTTCTTTAATTAGTGAACGTCTGACGTTACGGACCGAGCTTGATCCGTCACCCGA